TCCAAGATTTAAATCTATTTTTAGATCTAAAACGTATGCCATCTATGTCAATATCATTAAACTTGAATCTAATTTAATATCATACCAAAAGAAGATGAAAGAGACAACAATCTAATTTTATGCTATAATTCATCAGTCAATAAAGCACTTAAAAATTTGTTGTTAATGATATAAATCTATCACGATGAAACAAGACACATGACAGGTACTTGATCGCACGAAACTCAAAAGTGAAGAGCTTTTCTTTTATCATTCATCTACCCTTCAAGATTCACAAGTTCACTAAACACGTCAATATGATCTTGGATCTTTGTGTCATAAGCTTTCAAATGAAAACTCATCAGCTTAAGCAAAACATATAACTTGTTTGATAATTTTTTGCAATAAAATTGTTGCTTAAGAGCCATAAACATTATGATATATTTATCATATGCATTCATTAACTGTGAAAACAAAGCTTTTAAATACCAAATGATGATAATCACATCTTAGTCTTGAAGATATTGCTAATTGTTGTTGTAGGGAGAAGAAACTATCTCTCAACGTCTTGCCAAAATCCATAGACTTCAGCTTGCCCTTGACTTGTCTCTCCCATAGCAAAAAATTGCCACTTACTGCAGAAACAAAGTTTGTGAACACTAAATGATGACATTCACAGCTTCCTCTTGAAGATATTGCTAGTCATTGTTGTATGTAGAAGATTTCAACGTCTTGCCTAAATCCATAAACTTCAACTTGCCGTTGTCTCTTTCATAGCAAACAGTCATCACGTCCGTTGTATTTGAAAATTTCATATATTGATTTCTGAACTTAGTGACCGCCAACTCGTTTTATCAAAAATTTAAAGTTTTTCTTTTGATATTGGAGAGATATATTTTTTTATTTTTCATTTATTTATTCTTGTTGTCAATACTACCTGCTGTACCCGAGAAAAAGAGTAAAGTAAAGTCTTTAAGTCAAATCTTTTTTTCCACATGCAAAAAAACGCGATGATGTTTAATTGCAAGAGCGTTATTATATTCAGTATCATTTGTCCCGCCTCGTCATGAAATTATTAATGATGAAAATCAAACCATTTCCACATCCTTTTGTCACATCACTTGACATTCCTTATCCATTTAGTTCTTAGTCATAACTTCTTCTTTTTACTCTCGTGGAATTAAATGAAACCAGAGATGAACTCAAGTAGGTCTTCCGTAGATGATATTTTTATCTAACACTATATAGGTTATTGTGAATTTGAATCTAACTTGAACTCTTGTGTCATCTGTCTTGGACATGATATACACTGTGATAAGTTCTTAATAAGTGTAAGTACTGAGTACATGTATTTATAGTCAATTTCCATGAAAGATCAAGATATTGAAGTGCATCTAGCGTAGATCTGATCAAGTTTAACACTAAATAATTAGACTACAAGGATGTGGCAGTCATTCCAGGGGGAGAGTGAGTTTTCTCAGATTTCGGTTGAACTACATTCGTACACCTTTCACTACCATATAGGATATGAGAAAGATATGCAACATTTTGCTCAACTTCAAAAATCATAAATTTTCTTAATTTAGTTCCGTCATCTCGTTTTATATCTTGAGTTTGTCCTTGTCATGCAAGAACACGTGAGTCATTTGAGAAGGAGAGTGAGTTTATTCAAATTTTGACTGAACTTCATGCATACAGCTTACACTAACATATAGGGTGTAAGAAGGTTATGCAGCATTTTGCTCAACTTCATAAGTCACCAAGTTTCTTAGTATTGTTCCGTCATTTTGTTTGATATGTTGACTTTGTCCTTTACTGCGTCCAATTTCACTCTGGAGATATAAGAGACTTAAATTTGTACTTCAATTGTTACAAAACTGTAATATCCACAATGTTGCAATTTTCTTGCTTGCATAGTGTATGAGCTGATGAAGCTTCTTCAAAGATCTTTTATGATCTTATCCAGTTTATAGTCTCGGATCTCCGTGCTAGATATATAGATTCAGGACGTCAATGTTTTCACATCAAAAATTACTTAAATATTGGCTCACAATTTGATGGACATTGTGATGGGACAACCAAAATTTTGATCTTCAATTTTGTAACCTTCAACCAATGTTTTTTCTGTCCTTATGAGCATATTCAAAGGTCCATTTAGGATTCCAACATTGTCAACACCTCTCCCATCAGAAGATTCAATCAGCGTTTAGATTTTAGCCCGTATACATACACAGTAAAATCTAGAATTTTTTTATCGGAGACGAACATTTACGTTATACATTCTGATACCAATTTTTGAGTGAAAAAAAAAAAACATGAACGTATAAAACATGCACAACACACCTCACAAACCATCGTACTCAATGCTAACAAATTATCTGATATGCATCTGGTTACGTCCATCACACTTGACGCCAACAAATATAGTGATATGCATCTGGCTACTTTCACGGAGTCATTTGGAAACCTAATGTATCTTGGAAAAAACAAACTACTTTTCTCGGAAACGAGCTGGATCTCTCCGCCTTTTGTATTTTAAATAGAAGAAAGTCCAAAATCCTAAACTGGATTTCCAAACAACCAGCCAACTAAAGTTATCTACAACAGTTTTTTCAACTCAATGTGATTACATTTAAAAAAAACAATGATATATATTTTTATTCATTTTAAATGCAATTTTTGAATTTTTTATCTTGATAGTCTTTTTTCTTTCTATATTTCTAAATTATTTTCTATAAAATATTATTAAATATAAAAATTTTTATTTCTTTATCTACAAATAAATTATTATAAATTATTATATTTTTCTTAATTTTCATGAGATATGATATCATTTCATCTATTCTTGAATCATAAATTTATGTGCGTTTAATGATATAAATATTTAGCTATAATGTTTTTTAATATATGTGTAATAGTAATGTAAAATCAATTTTGAATAAGTTTAAACATCCAACATAAAAAATAAGAAGATATGGAAATAATCACTTGATGGTACTATTGTGGAATACAAAACATTTGTTGAAATCTAACATGATTCATTTTATCCAATGGAACCTCCAATGCCACTACAACCCATCGACATTCATGTTTTCATATGAGTTTTTGTAGTGTGTGTGATTTCGAAAGTGTTGATCATAGTATGAACAAAGTGGTTATTTTAAAGGAAATGTTAGCAAAGTTTTGTAAATGCTTTGGAGTACTAATATGTGACAAGTTGATAATTTTAGTTTATTGTAGTAGCTCCATAGTAACCTCTGAAAATGTTGCATGAATCTAGAACATGAAATTTTTGAAAATCACTTTTGGAATGTGGAAATCAACTTGAAATCAGAACAGAGCAATTACTATAACTAGTGTTGGAACATGGGTGATGATTGGCTGCAATGCCATCGGTGAAATAATTGTGTTGGGATTCAGAAAGCGTTTTGCACTGTCATCAAGTAATTTTATCCAAGATATGCTTACGTTTGGGGAGGACTTTCTTGATGTGGATATTTGTGGTTTCTTATGTACTATGCAGTATTATTTCCCATGACAATTGGATGTTAGTCTTGATTTTGTTCTCTTATCTTCAATGTTGGGCTTGAGGAGACATCTCTTATTGTTTTGGTTGTCAGGTTGACCTCACTTGATGTTTTGGAGAAGCCTTGTATCAAAAGAAGCTTTTCATCATGGATAGATGATCTCTACCTTTTGGATGAGACTTGAATATCTTTGAAAGTTGTCATGAGAGTAAGGCGTCTAGAATATGAAAGTATGTTTGAGACGGTGTAGTGTGGCTACGATCATTACATTGGAACACGTCAATCAATCAATATACATGGTGACCTCCTACAAACCAGACAAGGGAAATCCACGAGAGAGAGCCCGTCAAAAGATCACAATTCGCAAAACCTCCATATGCTATTTGAGTTCTAATACCGGGTAATTACACATGTGGAAGAATGAAGTAGATCCTAGTTAGTTGACTTTTAGTTCAAATTAATATCCTTCACCAATATGGCTAGGCTATTGCACAAAATGTTTAAAGTAATGGTCTATGCATTAGTCCACGTAAAGCTCTAGCATTTGGGGACAATCGAACAATGAATAATCACTTCATGTGCTGGTTCTTGGAGTGCTCTCAAGTGCATCAAGATAGATTTCCCGTTGTCATTCCATTTGCACGTAACCGTATATTAGTGTTATGGCGACAGGCTATCAAATCTCCCGATACTTTTTTCTGTATATTTCTGGGACTCTTTCCTGGTAACGGAAAGTTAACGAAATCTATTATATACTGTTATCACGTGGTCAAGTGAATTAAGGTGACGCTCGAACTTTTGTGAACAGTTTGTCTGGACTCACGTGCAAACTGCTCACAGCGGCAGACCCCACGAGAAACCGTCTACATTCCCGTCCCGGCTCTTGCTCGTTACGTAGGCTTTCAATCATTCCGTAGGGGAAGACAGCCCCGCACCCTTATCATTTAAAAGGTCGATGCCGCTTGCCCTTTTCCACCTCCAGAAAATAAATAAAAATGCAAGTTTGGCGAATGGACAGTCTCGCACGCTCGGCGGATCAAAAGCCTGATCCGCTCTGGTGGGTGCCACGTGTCGATTCCGGAGTTACATTTGGTGGAGCGACTTGTAATTCTCACTCGCACTCGAACGTGCTGACGTCCGAGGATTCAGGGGCCGAGGGAGTGGCCCCCGGAGGAAGGGTCGTCATTGATTCCGGCAGGAAACAGCTGGGGCCGTGTAAGTGAGCGAGTGAATGACTCTGCGAAAAGATAAAGAAGTCCGGAGGACGATGAAATCCTTACCGCCGGGACCGTACTCGGTACGCAGTCATGGCAGGGAAGCGGTGCGAACGCAGCAGAAGAAGACCTGGGACCTGGGACCTGGACTCTTTCTGGAGTTGACCCTGGAGGGTCGGAGTCGCAGGACGAGAAGGAGAGGATATTCTGCAGTCCTTGGCTCGGGATGGCGACCGACCCGGTGGAGGCTCGGGGAGGATATTCTGCAGTCCTTGGCTCGGGATGGCGACCGACCCGGTGGAGGCTCGGGGCTCGGCTCCCGGATGTTGGCTGTTGCACCTCGCTCCCGTAGGTGCCAGCCACAGGCGGAAACGCAGGACCGCCGGACTGTCAGTCTGCTTGTTACAGACAGGAAGGAAATGCAGGAGCGACTGCTGTCAGTCGCTCCTGTATTACTGTAATTCTGCGACCGAGATGAGGTTCTTGTGCGCTGTGATCGCCTTAAGGCCAGGAGCTTAGACGCACGATGGGTAGATGGAACGATAACAGATCTATGTGTGGATCGTGCGATGGCCAGATAGATCTTTTATGGATCTCTCTTTCCATCGTGCGTCTCTGTTACGTTGCGTTGCCTGAGCGATCGATTGGAAGCCAGGCAGGAAGGAAGACGGACAGCAAGAAAGCAAGAACGAAGGAAAGAATCGAACGCATTCCGATTGTTTCGACGACGAAGGAAGGAGAGCTCGTCGAATACAAGACTGTTCTTCTGCCTTCTTCGTCTGTGAAATGCGAGCACCAGGTAGCTCGATTAGAGGTTTTAGTTACTAGTTGAGCGAACGAGTCCTGCGAAGGGCAATGCAGAGCCAGGAGGAGGAGGCCTCCGGCGAGGTGATAAATCGGTCGACGACGATCGTACCATGCTGCTGTTGATCTGCTGATTTGAATCTGCACAGCGCCGCGCAGCGAGCTCGGAGTCTTTGTCCTTGTTGTCCTTCTCGTCGTGCTACGTAAGATGTAGGAGCAAGAGGAGGAGGATGCACGAGGTGCTGCCGCGCCAATCCGCATAGACGTTGCAGTCGGCCGGACGGGGCAGCACGGCCAGGCGCCGGCGGGAGGAGTGCTGCTGCTGCTGCTGCCGTCTTGCGTCTTGCCTCGATGGCTGGAGGCGGTGGCGCGTCGCTGCGAGAGCTGTCTTCGCTGTTGGCCGGCAATGCAGAGCTCGCGGCTGAAAAGCTCGGCGTAATCCTGTGTCAGTGTCCCCCGTCGGGTTCGCTGCATGATGGATCCACTCGCCTTCACCCCCGGCAACTCAGTGCCATTCTTGCTGTGGCTCAGTTTCTCTCGCAATCGAGTTCGTCTGCTGAGGAAATTCAAATGGATCTTTGGCATGTCATTCTGGAGTTTCTTCGCACAATTCCTTATTATGGTCAAGATGATATCTGGTCATCGGCATTTAGCTCGCTCTGGGCGACTGCTTTTTTTAAAGACTTCATGCTCGCCGTGGTGAAATTCACTAAGTCGAGGGCGGTGCTCGCTGCAGAACTTAGCACTATTATAGCTGACATTATCCAGAAGATCACCGCGCTGTCGAATCGGGAGGTCAGCGCACCAATTGCTCCAGGAGTAAAGTTTTTCCTCGTTGCTCTCTCTGAGAATTGTCCTCATCTGTCCGCCGATGATGTCGAGAGAGTGATCAAGGCCCTGCTGGAGCAATGGGCTGTGAACTTTCAACCGGGAAACACTCAGCCTTCATCCTCTGACACTTCTTATCACAGCTCACCTTCCATGTCAAAGAAATCTCACCAACACACGCCACAGTCCAACGGAACTTCCAGTCCTTACAAGGACTCCCAAAGCACTCCCCCTCAATATAACTCAATCAATGTACACGGGCTGGTGTCTAGGTACGAGCATCAGTTAGATCCAAGCCCTACTACATCAACTTCTACAATTCTTACCAACGCGTCCACACCATCCAAATTGGTCGAAGATCATGTAACCAGTAGGTCCGGACAATTGAACGGAAGTGGAAGGGGCGGCCTTGACTACTTTTATAATGCTCAGCCGGAAGTTCAAGGAGAACGAGGATCCAGCATGCGTCTGCAAGGAAATGCTCTGGAAGGAGAATCTTTGTACGTCTTAGAAAGGCAAGAAATTGCTTTTAGATTGGTCTCACATATACTGGAAAAAGCAGATGGAGATCGAGTGGTCAGCGACCTCGTGCAGTTGAGAAATTCGGCTGTACTGCAGCTCAAAGGAGTTCTGCCTCTACTCAAGGCAAGTTCGTTGCAGTATTCTCTCTCGATTTGACTGGCATCTATTAACCGTTAAAATGTCAGTGTTCAAGAAGATCAATTTTTTCGAGAAATGTTGGACTTCACACGCCCTATAAGAAGAAATGTAGAAAAAATCAACCCACTTATCAGCCGATCTTAAAATACCAGGGGCTAGTTTTCGAACATGTCGAAGTTGTGGCTTCAACCAGTTATCGAGGAATTTTGAGGTACATTGTGTTCTAGGAGCCCTTCTGGTATCCTCCCTTCTTACTGAGGTCCAGTTTTTAGCCTGATTTCTTGATTAAGCTCATATGTTCTTCGTCCCATTTACAGGGTAGAAGACAGGATTGGCCCGCTGATGGGGAGGACCTGAAGATCAAATTGGAATTAAAGATTCGAGCTTCTCATGGAGCAACAGTTTTGAAGACCAGATGTATCTTGCTATCGGAATCCGACGAGAAGACTAAAGGTTCTTTGCGAGAGAGTTTTCCGCTGTTGTTGGATGCGGCAGACGTTTGCCTTGCGTCTCCATGGAGGAAGTTAAGGTCTTGTGAAGAATTGTTTGACGCCTTGCTTAGTGGTGTGGCACAAGTCGCTATTGTGCTTGGCAATCAGATACAACGATCAGTACTTCTTCGACTCAAGTCTGTCATTTTGGGAACATGTGCTCAGGTATGCACAAACCTAAAACGGTTTCCAGATAATACTTAGTATCGTTTGGCTAGATTCTGAATCTATATAATTGTCATCTCTGTTGAACCTCTTGGGTTGCAAGTTCGTGGACATCCAGTTTGTTCCGACTTCTAATTTGTTTCATCGTCATGGACACTTACCTCTTTATATATGCAGGCGGAAACTTGGGGTACTGGCCAGTCTTTTGTGTACGAAAGCATGCTGAAATCCAGTTGTCTGCTTCTTGAAACGGCCTGGAATTCTGACAAATCGTCAGTGGAATCCTTTCTCTTATCGTTGGCCGCACACATTCGGGAGCGCGTGGAACATGTACTTGACCTTCTTCTGAGAGCGTAGTTTCCTCTTCATATATTAGTCTGTCCTTTACCAAGAAGAGGGGTTTAATAGCAGTCAATCCGCTGGTGATACCCTTGGCAACATTATTGCATATTTGGTGGAAGATTTTGTCAAAGGGGACCACTGTTAGTAAATAATCAAGCTACAAATTTATGAACAATGTTTATGAGTTGATTATTCTCAATATGTGTTCTGTTTCGGAATCGATAGATAATGTTTTTGAAATATCAGATCAGGATAATGAAAAATTCTGGCTAGAATCGGTATCCCCTTGAAGTTTTTGGCACCCAGTCAGAAAATTGTAAATGCTGTTTGCTCAGAGCTTGAATGAAGTTATATCTTACATGGTTCTGAAATCGTTTTAAACAGGGTGAGAAGGAAAGACATGTTATATACATACAAACAAACTTGATCTCCTTTCTAGCTGATTTGGCCACGAGGTTCAGTAAACGGGAGATGGGGGAAATCATACTGCCCCAGTTTGTTGAAAGTTTAGAACAGGCAGATACCTCTGTTCCTGGGTTATTACGGCTCAAGGTAAGAGATTGTTTTGGGTTTGCATGCTTTTTAAAGTCGTGATTTACTCAAAGACTAATGTAATTCAAAAGTAACTCTGATTTATCGTGCTCTTGTGCATGGCTGTGATGCTGTGAGCAGTTGATAGAAGCTTTAGCTCGTATTGGGAGCTCGGGCTGTGAGAAATCGTACCGAGAGGTTGTCATACTGTTAACTAGGAGTTACCTGGACAAAGTAACATCTGTTGATGCAACTTATACAAGGGCTCAACCTACAGAGGGAACCACTGAACATCTCGATGTAAGTGTTTATCTGTCCAAGAAACGTACACTTCAATAATCTTGGAAACAAACAGGATTTGTAGTTCTTTTCACAGCATGTTGAGATCTCAAGTCACAGTTGATCAAGAAGCTTTCTTTTGAAACCCTCGTTAGAACCTTCACTCCTAATACTCTACATCGTGTTTTATGGTTAAATTTTCAACAGACTTTGGCAGGTGCTCTGCTCCAACTCGCACGGGGCCTTCAACAACCACCTAAGCTAAGAGCTGATCTTAGAGAACGATTGCTGAATTTGTGCTCGAACGTGGGTCTTGCTGCTGAGGCCAAAAATGGCAGGTTCGAATATTAAAACCCCTCTCTGTAAAATATCTCGATGACTACAGAAACTTTTTAACTAGTACTGCTCACTTTTCAAGTCTTCTAGCGGGCAGCTCTGATTTCATGGACATATGTCTTTCATACAGTCATACATATAGTCTTTCATACATTATTTATTCTCGCTAGTCAATTATGTTGTTACATCACGTCTGCTGCGAATCAAATTCTGTAACTTTTATGTAACTTTTGTGTCTCATATCTTTTCCAGCGCATAGTCCGATCAGATAACAGAGCAGCCTCTTAAACGCAGAACTTGAATTATGTGCTAATCACTCAGTAATATTTTTTGGAGATATTATTTTCGCCAGGCTTACTTCGAACCATCGTTTGACAGGATTGGTGCAGATTTTCTAGGGCCCCTATTACCTGCAGTTGCAGAGATCTGCACTGATTTCGATCCAACTCAAGATGTAGAACCAGCAATGTTGAAGATGTATCGTAATTTGTGGTTCTACATTGCCCTCTTTGGCTTAGCTCCTCCGGTACAAAAACAACAACAGCTCTCTTTGAGACAAATATCGAATCAGGCCGGAAATATTAGCTCAACTCATTCAAGTCTCATGGCACTGCAAGCTGTTGGAGGGACCTATATGTGGAACTCTCAATGGTCCGCAGCGGCTACGCTTATCACACACGGAACACCTCCTCTCGTAAGCTTCCAGCTGTGTTCTTCTCTTCGCGCGGAATATTGCAGCAAGCAAATCGCTAATTGCAATCCATACTTATAACAAAGTATCACTGTCCAACGTTTTCAAATACATGAAAGAGGATTTTTCAGATGAACTAAATGAAAGTTTGTTCTTTGCTTTGTTATATCCTTTCTGGAGGTTCTAAATTTGACCGGATGCCTTTAGGTGGTGAGTTCAGTAAAATGGTTGGAAGATGAACATGAGTTGAAGGCTCTTCACAAGCCTGACAGCCGCAGAGGAGCTGGAAGTGAGAAAGCGGCAACAACTCAACGGGCTGCACTGTCCGCAGCAATTGGAGGATTGGTTGACGCATCTGCCATGAGTACTATATCAGGTTCGGAAACATATCGGAATAACTCAGCTTTAGAATATCTCACCCATCGAGCTTGCCTAATCTTGATCAACTTCTGCAAAATTGCCATGCATCAGAAAAACAAAGTTCAAAAGTAGAAGGACGAAAATCTTGTGAATGCTGCGAATTTCAATCTGTGGTTGTACTCAATTGTCTCAGGTGTGAAGGCTACGTATCTTCTGGCGGTCGCATTTTTGGAAATACTGCGTTTAAGCCATTGCGGAGGTGTACTTGGCAGTAGTAGTCTGAAAGGAGGGTGTACGACTGCTTTGACCTGTGCATTTAAATATCTGGAGAGCCCAGACTTGCCACTTGCAGTTCAGCAATGCTTGGCAGCGATAGTTCATCAAGCATTTAACGCTGCCCTATCATGGCTGGTATGCTCTCCCACATCATAGTCATGAGTTGCGCATGGGTCTAGCTTGAGCAGTCGAGCCAGTTCACGTGTGAGACATCTGACTGGTTTATTTTGTTGAACGAGCAGGATTTTATCTTCTCTATCTGAAGAATGTAGATATTTTTTTCAGGGAGAGAGGACTTTGCTTACTGAGGAGCAAGCTGCCGAGCGAGAAGCTATTGTGGCCGCTCATACATGTTTTCTAATCAAAGCGGTCGCTCATCGCGAGGAAAATGTTCGTGACATGGCCGATAGTCTTCTGAATCAGATAAAGACAAGGTTTCCACAGGTATTTAATCGGATGCAGATCTGAATTTAAAGTGCTCAGAGTTCCTTTGCTTCAGTTCATGGTTTAGATACAGTATTACTTCGTCCACAACTGAGTTGACGAACTTACTTTCCAAGCATTGTTCTTGGTGAAAACCCGAGAATGGGTGATATTCATTTTCAGCGACACACAGCCGCAACTCAAACGCCGAGAAAGAGAAAGAAGAGGCATCCTCAACAGCCCCCTAAAATAGGGAAACAAGAGAATCCCCAACTAAACAAGAAGTGAACAGCCAGCCATCGCGAGACACCCAAACACTTACCATGCATTGTTCTTTGGGCATCATACAGCGTTCTGATGGCTCTATCGGGTAAAACGTACGAATATAAGTTGATTGACGACTTAGACAGAAGTTTTGTAGCTAACTCATGTTCTTTGATTCTTTCGTATCAGGTCCTTTGGAATCCTCAATGTTTAGATGAGGTGCTGCGATTGGCTGCTGAGTTTGGTGCTGATGCTGGGGCACCCGCCTCTTCGCGAGGACTTTGGAATCAAAGAGTTAGAGAGTGGATAGCTTATGCTATTGTACTGGCTCCTTGTACTGTACAAGGACTTCTTCAGGTACTACTCAGACGAAAAAACTCCTGCCTTTCAAAGATGTATTTCATACCATAAGCTTGGATTGTAGGTAATGGTAATTAGTTCTGCTGAAACAGGTACATCTGAATTATTGCGTTCACTCTTGATTCATATACTACTTTCCCTTACCCTTTGTACATAGAGTTCTGAAATATTCAGCTGAGTACAGCAGCTGGATTGTTTATTCATTAATACTGTTTGTTTTACTTCATTTTCCACTACAGATAAATAAGGATCTCTTTCTGTGATTCCAGGAACAATTTCGGAAGTTGAACACTTGGCAGAAAGCAGCACAGACGAGTGATCTTCTGTCTCTGCTCTCCGATGTTCGACTAGATTCTTCCAAGACTGATGGTTGGTCTGGTAACATCAATTTACCGGCTGTGCTTGCCGCTGCAGCGGCAGCTGCAGGAGCTAGTCCTCAGTCTTCCAAAGTTGGAAGTACGGAGGTGCTTTCTACTGGTATCATTAGTGCAAACATAAAGTCCAACTATGCAGGAGAAATAGCAGGCATGAAGAAGCTCTATGCCGGTATGGGTGCCATGAATCTTGGAACTGTTTCAACTAATGCCAAGCCTCAAGTGCAAGGGGAGGACACAACTTTACATGAGATGTTAACTACAAGATTCGTGCAGCTGCTTCAGCAGTTTGTAGTTACCGCCGAAAGGGGATCAATAGTGGATTCGGCTGCTTTCCGTGAGGCTTGCTTAAGGGGAGCTGCTCTTCTTCTCTCTGACACTGTAAGTCATCTAAATTTCTTATTGATATAGATTAAAGTACACTCATTGACGCCAACATCCGTTTAATCAATTCGCTGCACACTGCTAATTTCCTCACCGATTTATCAGCATTTATTGTAGGAATAGTTTTCTGTTAATAGACGCTCATGCTTGTGTAATCTTGTGGTATCCAAAGTATAAAATATGGTTCATTTTATCTTGCTTTGCATCTTACGGGTATGGTTGTGCTGTCTTGTTGTATCCTGCACGTTTTACAGTTCATTTCAGTCGATGAGGTTCACTTTGAGCTTTGGATTATAAGATAGATCAAAGATGCGAGTCTTTCTATAAGTTTATTTTTGTGATTCCTTTCACGGATTTGAGATGTCTCGTAGTTCGTAATGCACACGTGCAGTCAAATGCTCTCTAATACAACTACTGAACAACTTTTTCGTCAGGATCATATTGAGAACGCTGTATCAGAAGGATTCGATCAGCTCCTACGTCTCCTCTGTTGGTGTCCTGCTCATATTTTTACTCCCGAAACAATGGAGACTGGTGTATTTGTATGGACTTGGCTTCTGACAGCTTCACCGAAACTTGGTTCACGCGTCCTCTCGGAGTTGGTTGATGCATGGCTTTGGACAGTAGACACCAAGAAAGGACTATTTGCATCTGGAATAGAGAACTCTGGCCCTGCAGCAAAGCTGCGACCTCAGCTGACGACTGGAGTTCCAGGTCCATGTGACGACAAGGAACTCGTTCAGGGAATTACAGCCCATCAAGTTTGGCTGGGATTTCTGCTTGATCGATTTGAGGTATTTTCGATATTTAGACCACCTTCTTTCTCCTTCAATCGGTGCTACATGTTGATAACTCATAATAGAACTATGTGTTGCACTCTGTTTGCTCAAAGGACAGGATGTTCACCTTGTTCCAGACAACTCAACTTACAGCACGCGACGTTCAGAATTATTACTTGTAATGAGTTGAACGTCTTTACCCTAATGATATGACTGTGTATGATGTCATATTGTGTAGGTGGTGAGAAATGTCAGTAGCGACCAGCTCTATCTTATGAGTCGGTTGCTTCAAGGCTCTGTCAAATCACCAACACAATTCTCAAGCCATCCCGCGGCCACTGGCAGCTTTTTCACTCTTATTCTACTAAGCCTCAAATTTTGTGCATTTCAAGCACAAGTGTCTTCTGGTGTTAGTAATACAGGAATATGCTTACTTGAAAAGCGTTCTTACAGGTGTGGACTTTCTCAAAGCTGAGATGATTTAAATTAGTAAAATTCTATCTCAACTTATTTTCCTCATTGTAGATCGTGACGGTTGTTGTATATTATTAGGATACTCATAGGATGCAATCTGTAATTATGCAGAGCTGCCCTGGGGTGGTTTGCTGTTGAGCCAGGATGGTATGATGGAAACGTCGAAGGTGTACTACAAGCTGAGGCAAAGGCTATGGGAATATTTGTGCAGTACCTGATGTCGAATAGGCCACAAGGCAGTGCCAACATCGAAGGGTCTTTTAGACACACTCAGGAAAATCCCTTTTCAGACAGTGTACAGGTGTGAAGATCGGCGTAACACATTCTATGGAAATATTCTTAGTAGGGAAGAAAGTTGTTTTCGACTGTTCTAGACCTTGATATTGTAATTGACCACTTATGCAAAGAGAACAAGGATGGAGGGATTTAATCCTTGAATATTTCCGTCTGGTGAGAAAATCTATATCACAGACTGGTCAACGCTTGCTAATGTTTCGAAGTTCTCACAAAGTTCTGGTGACGTGAATCAGGGAGACTCACAGCATTCTTGGGGAAGGGATGAAGACTATTTTGATCGGGAGAGACAACGACAGCTTTTGCTTATGCTTTGTCAATGTGAAGCAGATAGGCTGGAAACATGGGCTAACCCGTTAATGAAGTACAGCTTCACTCCCTTCACTTCATTGTAATATCAATATAAATATGAAATTCGTCCTATGAGTTAGTTTTTATGGGTAAATGCTTGAGTTTTCTTCCAACTTTGTTACTTTTTTCTTATGCTGATTTTGAATCTTATGCTTGTACTTGCAGGGAGTCGTCAGCTCCTCGTATCAAAGTTACTGCAGACCAATGGATAGAGTATGTAAGGACGGCATGGTCTGTTGATCCGCGAATTGCTCTGTCTCTTGTTTCTAGATTTCCAACTGTAAGCCCGGTGAAGGTGGAGGTTACCTCAATGGTTCAGGTTCGTGGACGCAGAATCCCTGATGTGGTCAATCGTTATACGTACTTTGTTTTGTTACATAGCCTTCTTTCTCTAGAGATTTGGGTTTTGTGGCTTTCATGATAGGGGAGATGTCAGAGAGCAATAGCAATGTTGGTTTGAACTATCCATATTGCAATGATGCATACATACCACATGTCATCTTCGCTGAAGTCACTCTACTCCTTAATTATCTGAGTAAATGGGAGATATGGAAATAAATATTTCTTCCCTTATAGACGTCTTTGAGCCCTGTCCCCGAATGTACTCTATCCGAACTTCTCATCACGTTATTGATAAAGGTTTTGGGTGGGCTTGCTCAGAAACACTTATTGGACCTTGTTCACATTCCAGAAGCTCTTCCGTACTTTGTCACACCCAAGGCCGTCGATGAAGACTCTGTCGTTTTGAGGAACTTGTTACACTGGGCTCCTTGTTCAATCACTCGTGCTCTACAGTTTTTGACTCCAGATTATAAGGGACATCATCGTGTTATGGCTTATGTGCTTCGTGTCATGGAGACATATCCACCCGAGAGAGTAACGTTTTTCATGCCTCAACTTGTACAGTCTCTACGATATGACCAAAAGGTGATTTTTTTTTTTTGAAGATTGAGTTCCAGTTCTCTTATAGTCTGTTCGCTGTTGAAAACCAGGGTATTGGTGATGGAAGTTAAACAAAGTACATATTTATTGCTAGGAAATAGCTCTCTATTAGAGAAGCTCATTGCCTTCACATGTAACAACGCAACAGCCGAACCTTACTTCCTGATGAACACACTTCTCTGTGAAGATACAGTTTGAAGAAGAACATTGCTGTAGGAAGAAAGAACATTACCAGATTGGTGTTTGTGACTCTAGTCTGAGAAGTCTCTGTATCGAGTGCAGGGTCTTGTTGAGGGCTACTTGATGGTTGCGGCGCAGAGGAGCAATCTATTTGCACACATACTTATTTGGCAACTCCAGGTATTTATTGACAATTAACAAGATGTAATCTTGCTTGAGCGAAGTGTGACCAAGAGCACTGAAGGAAAAGATGGTTACTCTATACAGGGAGAGGAGCGTCCAAGTTCGGAGGAAGCTGCCTTCGGAGAAGCTGAGAATACTGAAGTAAGCTTTTATAATCCAGCATCTCATTTGGAAATCGATAGTTGGCAGAAGTGTCATCGATATTGATTCAAATTGTCAAATTTTACGACCCTCTGGTCAAGCTGCTGGTCATCCTTCAGACTTGCGCATGTCATTACCACGAGATGTTGACAAGTAACAACTGTTGAAGAATTAGAAGAATTAAAACATTGGGAATCAATGTTTTCACTTGAATACAGGGAAATCTTTACGATATCGTTCCAAAGGTCAGACAGCGCATCATTGACAGTTTCACCCCTGAGGCGAATGATGTCTTCTTACGTGAGTTTGATTTCTTCGCCAAGGTTACTTCAATCTCAGGTGTTTTATACCCTCTACCGAAAGATGAGCGCAGGGCAGGTATTAAAAGGTACGTCATAAGCTTCCGAATCACCGAATGTTTATTATTGGTGAAAATTTCTGTAGTCTGTTTTCTTTATTGGCTATATCCTGACTCAGTGAATCTCTACAGGGATGTCCCTTGAAATATGAGAAGGAGAACTACTATAGAACATACACATGTGCTCTGAAGCTAACCTCTCGATATGAATTTCAGAGAGTTGGAGAAAATCACTATTCCCGGTCAAGATTTGTATCTGCCAACTGCCCCGAATAAATACGTTCGAGGCATTCAACTTGATAGTGGAATTCCTCTGCAGTCAGCTGCCAAAGTTCCAATTATGATAACTTTTGATGTAGTGGACAAGGATGGTGATCCTAATAACTTAAAACCGCAGGCGTGTATCTTCAAGGTATGTATGAGGTTTTACCTCTTGTACCAGATCTTATCTAACATTCTTCATAAAAGCAATCGAGGCTTGCTCCGATTCCATATATAAGTCAGACTTTCAAGTTCAAATCTGTAACTTATGTAGTTACTTCTCTAGCTTTCAATGCATCAGCATTGCGCTTTGTAACTTTAGCGTAAGTCCAAAAATCAGACACAAACCAGCAGAATGAAGATTTTTCTTGTCGTGATAAATGTGTTCTGGTTCTGCCTTGAGAAGATCTGACGTCATTGGATCAAAAGTATATTCGTATGCATATTTGCATGTTTTGGAAGTACTCAACTTGACAGTCGATTGGCATCAGGTTGGAGATGATTGCCGGCAGGACGTTCTTGCCCTCCAAGTTATTGCTCTCCTCAGAGATATCTTCACAGCGGTTGGAATCAACCTTTATCTTTTCCCATATGGTGTTCTTCCAACTGGATTTGGCAGGGGAATTATCGAGGTGGGTTTCTGTCTTCTGGATCTTACATTTGTCTCAGATTTTCACCATTTCGGCTTACTAGCAATGGAAGTAAACTATGACATGTGCCCATAGGTAGAACGTTCATCTAATTCAGAAGACTCTAGGATTGCAGTACCTACCATAGACGATTCTAGGTTAAAGAATCCCCCAATAAGTTCATTTACCATCTGAAAAAATGTGCAATTGGAAGTTAGTACTTGACAAGAGTAAGCATAAATACGGAAGTATATGAAATTGTACCGAGCTTGTCAGGTCAGGAAAGAACAAAAAGACGAAAACGGATGTATGCATCATTGTTCTGATCTCGTCAAGTCAGGAAGTAACATACAATTCATTTCTTATATTTTGATAACTCTAATGTCATTTGTCCATTTTGATGTGTTGATTTGAAGTAGGTTGTTCCAAATACACGAAGTCGAAACCAGATGGGGGAGATCTCAGATGGTGGACTGTATGAGATTTTCCAGGACGACTTCGGACCAGTTGGTTCTCCAAAGTTCGAAGAAGCGAGGGAAAATTTTATCGTCAGCAGTGCTGGCTATGCTGTGGCTAGTCTCCTGCTCCAACCCAAAGATCGGCATAACGGAAACCTTCTTTTTGATAAGTAAAATAACTTGACTGAATGACCTACCAATTTGTGTATTATTTCTAGCACTGCCAAAAAGTCTCCATGTGATATCTGGTCCTTGGTTTTGGTGTGCTTGTACTCCAGCTTATGATGTGGGAGTGGTAAATAGAAAGTATTTTCTAGGTTCTGTTGGAATACATCAAAAGAGGATCTTTTTTTTAAACCCAAGTTACTTCGACTCGTGTAGAGATGGAAGACTTGTGCACATCGACTTTGGGTTCATATTGGAGACCTCGCCAGGAAATAACATGAGGTTCGAAAGTGCCCATTTCAAGCTGAGCCACGAGATGACGCAGCTTCTTGATCCGTCAGGAGCTATGAAAAGCGACTACTGGTACCGATTTGTTAGGTGAGTGATGTCTTGAGATCTGCGATATGAATGTGTACAAGATCTTGCCTGCATGATACCCTTAAGGGTACCATGCACCCACAAGGATCATAAAGATGGTAAACAACGATGGACTTTAGATTTGTTGGCGAGGTCGTTGTAGAGGTATGCATATATCGTGCAAATCATTTCTCTGTTTGACCTGGACTCTATCTACTTCGCAGCTTGTGCGTCAAAGGATATCTGACTGCAAGACAACATATGGACGGAATAATCAACACAGTGCTCCTTATGAAGGACAGCGGGCTCCCATGTTTCAGTCGTGGTGACCCTATTGGCAACTTGCGGAAGCGTTTTCACCCAGAAATGACGGAGAGAGAGGCAGCCAACTACATGATCAAGACATGCGGAGATGCATACAACAAGTGGACAACAGCGGGTTACGATCTTATTCAATTTCTGCAACAAGGAATCGAAAAATGAGGCCAACCTCCTGGGATTAAAACTTTATCCCTTCGGTGGTCAAGGCTGGTCTCTTGCGTGCAGACTGTAGGTACCAAACTTCAGAAAGTCACGCGCATCCGCAGCGATCGTCTTAGAACAATTTTGTATCATTTAAATTTTTTGCCAGTAGGTAACACTATGGTCAATGTTGAATATGCTAGGAAGCCCACAGAAGTTTCAGCTCCTTTACTCTGAACTAGATGCGTACGACCATATTTATGATCCGAGCTGCTAATAAACATAGGACTCCCATTTATTGTTGGTCTCTTTTATTAGATGGCCGACCTAGGTACTGTAGTTTAAAGGTCAGGTATTTTACACGAGTGGAAGTTTCACCACCTGTAGATGTCTCTTACGTACTATATATCTTTGAGCACCGCTTCAATGTGTTTAGAATTGCTTTGAAGTTAGCTTACATTTGTGCGAATGGAAGACGGAATCATGGTAGTATGCATGATATGGTAGTATGCATGATGTGGGATGTGTCTCGGGCATCATTACATTTTGGGCAAGAACTATTCATCTCCCCATTAAAAATTGACCCTGAACCCACGGCCAAATCTGTAGAAATGCAATTAATTTGGCGGGAGAAATATTCACGGATTTATGTGATTACTTGCAGCAGAGTTGGCAGGGTTGTGGCAGCCATAGTCAATTTGACAGGTAATTCGTTCATGACTGAGTATGAGCGCATACGTTTGAAAGAATCAAGTGTTCGTCACAACCTCAGGTCTAGAGCACTCGAATAACACAACCTGCATATGAGAGGCCGTTACTCTACATCGATTGATCGATCGAGGCTTCAGGTCGAAACGCGATACATCTCTGTTGTCCAGTCAGGATGGTAGGATTTGAGATCCTGTGTAGTGTTTCATGACAAGAGGTTGACTGCTTAACAACATTCTTCAACTAGCTTGAGAACTTTCTATTTTACAATTGCAGCTGAAGTGGCTGAAATACTTCCTCGAAGCTCTAGAAAAGAGCCAACTTGTCACACTACGCGAGCTTGTGAAGCACACTGATAAGAATGGTCATGAAAGGCCACCCAACCGCACAATGGTTGGCCAATCCCAGAGCGTGCAGGACAGTGAACACACCCTCTATAGACGGTGGTGGAGTTTTCCATGAAAATCTAATGTGCATGTGAAATTTCAATCCAATCTGCGACAATTGTGGGATGTCCGGGGTGAACTCAATCAGCCTCTGGAAGCTTACAGCGAGAAATGTGTCCTCTTTGTCCAGAGTTTCGGCCACTGTACAAGCAGTTTGCTAACGAGCCGTGTACACAGGCGTCGAAGTCGGCGTCGGTTGACTCTTCCTCGTGTACTTTAACAACATGGCTTCCACAGATTGGCCTGGCACTCTCAGATCTCTGCAAGAATGAGTCCATACGCACGTCAGGCTCTTGCTTACCAAAAACTGGGCAGAACAGAACAGGTTACTAATAAGTCCAAGGAAAGCTTACTTCAGATACGGCTCCAGATCCTCCCACTCCCACTTGGACCTTCGGCTGAACAGGGCTGTGAAGCGAGCATCCGGTCGACATGGCAGAAGCGAACAACTGAACTGATGAAGCCATGATTCTAGCCCAACTTTCTCCACCAAAGCCTCGCCTCTGAGCATATTGAGGTCTACAGACATCCACGAAGGAGTAATCATTGCCCACTCTTCCAAGAAATCCTCCAGCTTCCACTTGGTTTTGTCCCTCAGCAAAAGCTTGGCATAGTGTATACAAATCTTCTCATCGTCTAGTGCCCAGAGATCAGCCGCTCCGCTCCCGCAGCTTTCCTGTCCTGTCGAAGTGATCGACCGATGTTGCTCCAAGGTTAGCGCTCGGCAAGTCAATACTAAAAGTTTGGGTACAGTCTTGGACATTACTATGCGCTCAAGCTCGACAATGGTATCCATTGACAGCTTCCCAGAAACCTTACTCACACAGATGCAACGAGGTAATCACGAAGTGCTACTGGTCAAACGAATACAAACGAATACATGGCAACAGCTGATGCTTCGAGCTCGGGTACCTTGAACTGGATTCTTGGGAGAAGGGCCGGCTCGGACTCCGAATTTGTCCAGGCAAGTGATGACCACCGGGGCTGGGAAGTGGGCTTCCAGGCTTCTGATGACTTCGGAGCCTTGGAGTGCTTTCAAAGACCAGTCGTTTTGCACCGCCGCACTCAGAAGAATTCCCAGAAGATTGTGCATGTAATCAGGGTCCACAACACGCCAGAACCTACCGATCTCCGCGGCTTCTAATTTTCTCAACGCGTCTCGTAGTTGGTGGTCACTGGCTTGCGTACGAGCTGAAAGCTCGTCCCAGGTGTACAATTCCCCGTCTTCTGCTTCTTCCTCTCCCAGATTCTCATCATCCTTGAAAGGTCGCCGGCTTACGAGGGCTTGCAAGTTCTCCAGCCTCGGAGCAGTCTCCACTAGCTCGATGTGCCCCGAGGCAGTGGCTACAATCCCTACCTCCGCTCTGGGCAAGTCTTCATCGACTTCCGCGTCGCAACCATCGCTGCCCCGCGGACTCGGAGGCACCAGAAGAACTGTATTCGAAGTCGACACGAACTTCATGGCGAAAGTAGCCTTCGAAGTACAAAGAACGGCTTCATCCTCGCGACCGCCTTTAATCGTCAGTCTGGCGACGCACACAAGACACAATACCAATGTCAAAAGGCAGACCGTGCGATTCATTCATGCCCTGTCCCGTGAATTTCGTCCGACCACGGGCGAGTCGAATTCCAGCTCTTCAACATCGCGTGCCAAGATTCGGGTGTGAGGAACTTACCCGCTGTGCAGCAGCTCCTGCAGCAGAGCCTCGTCTACCTCCAGCAACCTGTAGGGCTCGTCCGACCTGAATGTCTCGGCGTACCCCACGCTCACCTGCGGATCGACGTCCAGCTTCAGCACAGATATCATCGATTCTCGCATTTTTAATTTCGATCAAGGCAATTGCCGTCACATCACATTCGCGCGCCACATCCTTCGTCGGCAAATCAATCCTTCCGCTGTCAAATCTTCGATGCTCGCCGCGCCTCGTCTCAGAGTCCGAAGCCATTTTCGTCCGGCTGCAAAATCGATTCTCGCGCCCAGTTCCAAGGCCCCGCGCTCTCGCAGAGGCATCCGTGTAGAAACCGGCTATAACAGGTCATAATCAATTGTTCCCCTCACATTCTCCTTTGTAGGTGTCTGTAAGGTTCGGTTTGCCAGTCCCTCCCTCACCTTTATGCTGCTTCTGTTATGTGATACCTCCATTGGTTTCTAAGGGTTGGCAAGAATTAAACATCACCATAACAATTAGACATAGTTAGAGTTAGTGCTAGATGAATGTAACCTTATCCCTATCGATATCGTTCGTCCTTTTTAGTTGCGTAAATATCAATTTTTCCTTTAAAAAATATATCCATCGTTTTTTTATACTTAAAAAGATGTTATGACAAATTTGCAATTTGGAAAAGGAAAAGTAATATTTACTTACAAAGCTCATGTTTTGGTCGATTTTCAAAATTATGAATAAGAGCAACTTCCTTGTCCGGTCATCTTTGCCAAAATATATTACCATCAAGTTCATGTCATGGGATGAATAACATAATATATAACAATAATTTTTACTAGTCTGCAGTTTTCTCTCTGATTTATGTTGTCATCAATATCTCGATTATTCTCCGTCTAGATTCATTCAATAAACTATAATGTTTCCAAGATTATAGACTAATCGCAGAGAATTGAGTGAATACAGATCCGCAATATGTGATGTTGATGTATATCAAATTATGATGATAGAATAAAGTTTCCTTTATTTGAAATGTGCGATAGCATTGAAAATTCAAATAACTTAAAATCCATGCATCGACAGTTTCATGTCATTTTTCACCAATTTATTTTTACATGGAAATCACCATAATTTTGTAGATCTTTTAAATGATGATAAAATAATCAGAAATTTTATTATACATTGTCAAAGATCATCATATGTATATACATATTTGTGTGTTACCTGTAACTCAAGTCTGCCCGACCTTAGACTCCTATGATCCATCGACAATCAGTACCGAGTATGATCACTACAATTTCTCACAGGCCTCACGTATGAAGACCAGTTCTCTGTTCCTAGATTCAGATAAGAGTACATGTAAGGATGAAGATTCCTTTGACATAGACACTAATTCGTTAGAAAGATAAACCACTCTCTCCTTAAGTGTAGAGATCGATTCCTTGCATTTACGGATCTCCTCACGCAGACCTGAATTTTCCTGCTTGATGTTCAGGTTGTCTGAGAATAGGCGAGAATTCAACTCCTTAAGTTCCACCAAAGAACAGGACTTCGCTGGATGCTGCTGCTCTCCAACTAGATGTGCCTTTGGATCTTCCGACTTCGATTCGATGGGTACTTCATCTGGTACCAAATTCATGTCAGGCATCTGTCCACGTATAAAGTTACTCTCAGCTTGCTCATTTACTTCGATAGAAGAATCTCCGACTAGATGCGCCCTTGGATCTTCCGACTTCGATTCGATGGGTACTCCATCTGGTATCAAATTCATATCAGGTATCTGTTCATGTATGAAAGTCCAAGCATCTTGGTCACTTCTTTCGACAGAAGAATTTCGATTGTAGGCAACTTCAAAGATGTCCTTTTCTGTATATGGAACACTCTCATTACGTTCCTCCATTTCTTGAATCTGTACGTCGTCACCATTTCGAGGCACGTATTCCTTGTGTTTGGCTTGAGTTTCGTTGCATGCTACATGCGCTGGTAGCGCATGTAGCATGCAGATTTGTTGAACACTTGTCCACAGAGTCAGCACATCACCTTCAGTACACCTCGGAGTGCTAGAGCAATGTTCTGCCAGTCGTCTCGAAGTATGCTGACCCACCATTGACCCACCTGATCTTCTTCCTCCCAGCTCCGCCGTTGACTCCTCTCCTTCTGCTCGAGTTGGCACCTTACTCTGTCTCATCTCGAACTCTCTCATGCCAATGTCATCACTTGTATGTTTTCCTTGAGTTGGTGGTCTGTCGGAAGGGATGCTGCTGCATTTACTCTTTCTCTTCTTGAGTAAATTCCTGGAACTCATGTTTGATACAAGGTTGGTGGAAACTTCATGATCAGCGACAAGATTCTCAGCAGCTGGTGGCTCATTCAGTGTATTGTCATCCCAGAACGCTGGAAGCTCAATCAAGGGATCGACTTTACTAGCAGAAACTTCAAATCTACTAGTCATGGAGAGATCTAGACTATTGAGTTTGTTGGTGACATTCGTGCTAAGACCAGATGAGCAAATCGAACTGCAAGTTGATGCTACAGTGTTACTCTCAGTTCTAAGGTCCCTAGTTGTAGTGCCACCACCAGATGGGATCCATTGGTTGAGTCCATTACTTGTAGGAATGGTTGGAGAAGCAGTCAGTAAGTTTATTGATCTCGGTGAAAGTGCAACTCCTGCCGCCTCAGATGAATCATTGATGAAATACATGATGGCTCCAGGTTTGACCCTTCCCGGATACTGTAGTTCATGTCGCTCAAAAGATACATCTCCCTCAGTGGTTGGGACATTTTCTTTGCAATAATTATTATCTGATGTACATGGAGTGATATCCTTTTCAAGTAAGGAACATCGTTCGTCATGTATACGTCCCTGTTTCAAACTCTTCTGTCTAATCTCCTCAATATCAATAAGAACGAAATTGAGATCTCTTAGAAAGGGCTTTCCATCATCATGACTATCAGCAATATGTACAATAGTACTTTCTGTCCCGGTCAAACCTGCATAGTCTAGTCCCAGACTGGTTAATAGACTGTTAGACAGTCTCGAATCTTCGTCTACGTTAGATACAGTGACAAGATCAAAGGCCGGCTGCTTGTCGATCTCCATCACTGTTGGACCATGATCATATGCTGCGTTGAGTTGGGAAATATTCTTCGTCCGGCGATCACTACCTCTTGTTTTCAGAAACCTCCTGTGCATCCGCGGTATAAGTTTCCTTTCGTCATGAACAAATAGTTTCTTGCGTTGTCTATATGATAAGTTTCGCGCAAGAGATATCAGACGCCGATGAGGGAATGTCACTTCTCCTTCATCAATCTTGTCCTTGTCTCCTAGGAGATTTCTTGTCTCCATCTTTTCGCTCCAAATCTTGAGATTTTTATCTGGGTTTGTATCCGCAACTGCATTCACTGCCTTGGTTTGAGCTTGAGAACTCACCGTGTATCTGGCAGCCACATTCAGCACTTTCTCGCAGCGAAGTGTGTCATCTTCTCTTCTATTCCCTGAAATTGTGACGAAGTCTTCACAAGAAGGTGTATCATGCGCAGTCTCCTCTATCGCTGTAAGTACCAAGTCTTGATAAGACAATGTCTCAAATTGTTCCCTCTCTCCAGCATCAGCTGTGTCACCTAGAATTGGAGTCCATGCAGCACAACCCCAGTCATTATTGCATGCTGTCAAAGCTGGAACTTCATCTGGTGCTTTTTGAGTGTGAAGTGTTCCATGAATCATCAAATGTGGATCGACTCTTCTTCCAACACTCTCCGCTAGTTCTGGCGCAACACCATCAACCCCCTGAACAATTACTTCATCCACTTCATTCCCACCTTCCATTTCTACAAATACTCATAAACAACTGTTTCGTCTAGACTACGTTTGGAGTGTATGAACTCTTGCTCCTCTTGGTAAGAGTTTTTGCATCGAGGTCACCACAAGAATAAGTACAATATTTTTCATAGCTCCATACATTCAAAAAGGACTGTAGAGAATCAATACCACAACGTGTTCGTCCAAATCCGCGCTAGAAGCACATTGCAGTTGGTATCTTGAATTCAGACGGAAGGACGCGGTACCGTGTACAAAATTAAATTCAAAATGGCTTGCGGCGGTTGACCATGCCAGTGTAATTTGCCGCGGAAGTACAAATCACAAAATTTGTACTCACAAAATTTGCTACTTGTGAGTACAAATTGATGCAAAATTTTTCATAATTCCAAATTTTTAAAAAATTTAAAAATTTATTGAAACCTAAAATTTTAATTCTTAAAAATTTTGAATAAATTGATTTGCAAATTACATGTCAAATGAGTTAACAATCAAGATTGTTCTCGATTAGCAAATTTCATTCAAATCATGATTATATTTTCTTAAAGTTTCACAAATATTCAACTACAATCAAGTCTAATCACAATGTAATAAAACACAAGTACAAATTTATTTAAAAGTATCAAATGTCTTTTATCAAGAGAGATTGGAGAAATTATGACAAAAATATCATAATTTATGCTTCTTAAAACATTATTAAAATTATCAATCCAAATAGATTTCAAATTGATCAACTCTTTGAAATCAATTATCAAAATTTAAAATATTTTAATTTTGATTTGTTTAAAATTCCAAATCCAATTGTTTGTTTGATTTGAAACATTATTTTAATGATGATATGTTCGGAGTTCTAAAACCGGATGTTGTATGAGTGAAATAAAATTAAAAATAACCAAGAAGTTAATCATGGTTAGTTTATTTGTGAGTAAATCTAACTAGTTATAACTATGTTTAACTATAAAATTCATACTTGACGAAATAATTAAACAAGTTCTAGAAGATTTGAGTGAACATTTCTATTTTGTCTTATACAAAAGTTTAGATTTTTAGAAAAAAAGACTTTTTACTTCATGTTTAATTTTGATTGATTTGACTAAATACTGAGAACTTCATCGGTTAAACTAAGTTTAATGTTGACTTAGTGGCAAGTAGGTTCCAGAAGTTGAAAAGACACAAATAACATATCGCCAACTTAATTTAGGGATTAGTATACATTTAGAAAGTTCAGGAGATCATTGACATAATGACACATATTAAAAATTAATTAAACTTACTATAATTTATCTTTGTAAAAGTAAATTAGATAACAATTACCATTTGTTACTATATAAATTTTCAAGTAGTATATATAGAGAGTCAGGAAATAGACTTTCAAATAAGTTTAGAGAGTTCATGTGTATAGAATTGTTTCACATATGAAAGAATAACGATTTTTAGTATCTTGGAGTGTCGATGTGTGTGTAAATAGGAGTGATAAATTGAGGTATTGTGTGAGAATGTATTTGGGCTATGAGTATGAGTATTAATTCTAGATATCTAGAACCATGAAAAAATTATTTGAGGTAAAACTGAACGAGAGTCAGCTCAAAGGTTGCAGAGCTCTTCTGACCTTCAACTCATTCATCACTCTTACTTCACAGTTGTCGTTTTGATCTCAGCTCTTCTTCCTTCACTCTCGCTCGTATCATTTGTCAAGTGTTTAGACTTCTTTTGTCTCTTCCACTCACTTCATATCAACGCAATTGAAATTGATGAAATCAGACAGTGTAGTGACTAGAGTAGCTTCAACAAGCGAAAGACCAAAGAATCATGAAGCATCTTTAGCAATCTTCTTGTGAGCAATAGTGATCAGATTCATTACGGTTATGTTTGTTATGCTTACAGCAACGCATTTAGTCAAGTCACATGTTAGTTGCAAGAAAATTTTGATTATCGATGGAATGGAAATAAGGAGATTCTATTTATTAGCATCATCGTTATCATCATCAGCAGAAGCAACATCAGTTTAGCACTACAAGTGCAAACTGCAACTTCCGGTACGACTCTCACTCAAGATGTCTTTGCATTAGTTCATCATGGTTCTAAAAGATTAGAAATTCTTTTCATGTTTATGTCTCAACTATACTCCCACACATTCTCTCTATTCATCATTTAAACATTATCACTCCAAGATACTAAAAAACTTATTTATTTCATTGATCCAAAATTTCTTACAAGTATATTTTCTACCTCTCTATATATAATACTTGACAAATTACAATAGTAATACATGGTATTTATCTTCTAACTTACTTTTACTAAGATAAATTATGGTAGATTTGACTAGTTTTCAATACGTGACAATTTATCATTTGCCTACCTTTTAGAATTTTATTAATATATAGATTGAGGTGACGACTTGCCATTTGAGACCTTTCAAACTTCTAGAACTTTTACTTGTTTTTAAATCAACATGCGAAGTAGTTTAATCAATACAATTTTCAGTATTTAGTAAAATCAGTCAAAATTAATCATGTAATCAAAGTCACTTATCTAGACTTTTGTAGGAGACAAAATACAAATTTTCACTTGAATCTTTTACAACTTCCTCCATTTATTGTGCCAAGTATAAACATTATAGCTAAACATTATAACTAAACATAATCATAGTTTGATAAATTTAATTATAAGTAGTTAGACTTAGTTAAATTCAAGCTAACCATGATCAACTCCTTGGTTACTTCTAATTCTACTTCACACATACAAAAATTGGTCTTACATTTACCCCCGACTAAGATTTCACTATGTCTTCAAAGTGAAAGAATTTGCTCTTTGATAGAATTGCTTCAACTTGTTATGGTTAACTCGATCAAAGTGTCTTCCTCCTAATTTCTTGATGTTATAGGTAAAGTTTCTTAACATATTTTCAACTTTGACAGATCCAAAAAACTTAAGAATAAACTTTTTTTTAGTAATCTTGTATCTAATTGCATCAAAAAGCATACTACACTCACCTTCTTTGAATGATTTTAAGTTGTGAGTTTAGTTTCGGGATTGTTAAGCTTGCTTCACTCGTACCATGATCATAATTTAAGAGAGATTTGCTTGATGGGACCCTTGCGGAAAGTAATTTGCTTGATGGGACCCTTCAGGTTTCATTTTACCCGATGGGACCCCATGAACGATGCATCGTCACCTATGTTCAAATAACAACTAGAGAGAGTGCAACGAGTCCACCGAGTCCATCGCACCCGCAAACAGAGTGGACTTCGCACTCCATCACACTCACTTGTTTTTATGTTGTCATTCTGTATCCGGCCACTCTCCAAGTAGACGAGCAAAGAAATGTTCATCGGGAGTTTATTTGTTCGCCACAAATGGGTGATCGCGAGATTTGAGCTCGGACCACGCTGGGTTACGGAAAGAGTGTGGAGGTGGGAGGCAACAGAGAAATTTGCGAATCTTTGCGATCGGAAGAATTGAAGCACAACAAATTGCACTTCGAGCAAAATCGATATTTGTCCCCGTGATAATCCACCAGAAATTATAATCACGGATTGATCTCTAATTGTAATTCCCGCATTGTAACTAGTAGTAATCGTAGTTACAAAAACTATGTCCGACGGCACACCGTCGTTGGGGTCCCATCGGGTAAAACTAAACTTGAAGGGTCCCATCAAGCAAATTACTTTCCGCAGGGGTCCCATCAAGCAAATCTCTCAAGAAGCTTCCTTCAACTTCATCAACTGTTGTCTACAACAAGATTTGACATCTTACACTCCACGTGATTCTTTCAACAATTGCTGGATTGTCATGAAGATGATCAATTCAAACTATATGAAAAGTTTTGATTCAAATCCACACACCAACCAAAAAAAATTGTATCTAGTCAATATCTTCCATGTTGTTTGATACTTCCACAAGAGAGCAATACACGGTGATAACGGTATTGAAGGAGTAAAATGATAATTAGAAGTTCATCTCTAAATGAAAGTTTCCTAAATACATGCATTCAAAAGAGAGAAATGCATTAGGAAATAGATGTCAACCTTACATGATCATGGAAAGAAACGGACAGACTTTTACGAGGGATGGTTGAAAGACTATAAACATTACAACTCATGAAAGAATGCAATATGTGAATGACATTTTGCAAAGAAAATAATTGTCTTTAAGATTTT